ATGAATTTATGTGTCCACAAAAGATAACATTTGTTTTAACTGGGGCCTGCAATGCCATGACCCAACGGAATAAAAGCATCTCAGTCCTCCCACCTGACTGTGACTCTCTCATTGTCTAAGAATAGCATTCTTTTAAATCCTTGCTTCTCAACGTGTTGTCTGTGGTCTAGCAGCATGAGTACCACCCTGGAATTTGTTAGAATCTCAGACCTTGCTCCAAACCTACTGCATCAGAATCATTTTTGCAATACCTCCAGGTGATTCATACGCATTTTAAAGCTTGAGCAGCACTGCTAGAATAAGGAACAGCTAGCTTGAAGTAACAGGTGAGGGCTTTTTTTTTTTTTTTTTTTTTTTTTACAGGAAGAAGGGTTTGTGTCCAAGCTCCTTACAAGAGGGCACCCAGAGCAGCTACTTTAGAACCCCGGGGATAGGGCTGCCATCTCTACTATCAGGAGAACATGGCATCTCATGGGGGCCCAGCTGCTAGCCTACCATGCTGGATCTCTGGAGCTTTCAGGAGAGTGAGGCTCCTGTTACTGGCATCAGAGGGCTAATTGGCCGCACATGGTTCCAATCCTGCCAGTCTCAAGGGGAATGACAAGACTCCCCAAGGAGTCAACCAAATGTAAAGAAAAAGGAGCCAAAGGCAAGGAGGGGTAGAAAACTAAAAGCTATGCTTGGAAATTTAACTGTTACATTTTTATCTTCCTGCCCAAAAGTGCAAGGAGGGAGAGCATCAGCTTAGAATCATTCTGTCTTCTCGGTTCGTTTGTCGTTTAACCACGTCCTGCGTAGCAACAGTTGTTAGCATGAGCTCAAGCCACCAGTCCGTCTTTGGACAGTGAAGGAGGGATCAATTTAGCCCACATAGGAGTCAGGGCATCCAGAAGGAGCCAGGCTGTCTAACAATTAGGTCAGGGAAAGAGCTGCCTGGAAAATGAGGGGACAGAGTGCATTGTGAGGCTGTCTCCTAGAAGCAAGGGCCTGGGCTGTGTGAAGCGAGTGAAGTTTATCATTGGCTCCCTTTCTCTGCTCCTCTGGCCACCCCGAATAATGCTACCAGTAATATCACTATTTCTACATTTGTGTGATATGCTTTAACCTTCCTAAGTGCTTCTGTAGTCATGATCTCATTTTATTCTCCCAACAATGTGGAGTGAACAGGCTCAGAGACAGGTTAATTATGATGAGGGCTGAGCATCCAGGCTGGGCCAGGACGTGAAGTGCTGCTGGCTATAGGGTTGGGGCAGCCCCGCAGTGGGGACTCTGGATAGCCAGTGGGTGCAGGTTGGGGTGCTGCAATTGTGGGTCCTGTCCGAGAGATTTGACCCCAGCCAAGTCACTAAGGTGCTTAGTAGCCTCTGTGAGTCTCTATTTCTTCATCTCCTGCTTGGGAGGCTGGGATGGAGGAGGAGCTGTCACCTAGCCTATTTGGCAGGACAGTTAGAGGCTATGAGGACATAATGGATGTGAAAGCACCTTTTCTCAAATGAGGTAATGGGTATAAAAATGACAAGAACTACATGGATATAAAATGTTATTGTCATTAGGCATAAGAGAAAAGCTAGGGGGTTTACCTGTGTCACTAAATAGAGAGGGCAAGCCTGGCACAGGGTGAGGGGTAGCTTTGGGGACTTTGGGTAGGAAGGGGACAGAGTGAAGGCATTGCATGCTTTGAGGCAAACAACAGAAGAAAACAGCAGGTCTCAGAAACAAAGCTGGAGGGGGGATAAGCTTTGGCTGCTTCATAATTTTGTTCAGGCTTGTCCTGTTTGAAGGGACCAGAAGCCAAACATCTTTCAAAGTCAAATTGCCTGTCCCTCAGGAGGGTGGTCATGTGACCCATGGACAGCTGAGCTCCTGTCATCCATCATTGCTTGCCTTCAGTGTCACTCCCAAGTCTCTAGGCACTTAGCAAATTTCAGAGGGACTCAGCTGCCGACACTGGAAGATGTAAACCCCAGGAGGGAAGGAACAACTTGTATTTGAATTGTAAAATGGCCTTCTGGTCTGCTAATGGAGGTGCTTCTCCCATGTCCCAAGATGCCTAGGAAGGCCCAGGCAGTGTGAGGAAAGGACTGCTTGCAGAATCAAGGGAGGATGCAGTTAGGGACAGTTAGTCCAGTTTAGTCAGGGACAACCCAGGAATGAATGTGTGCTAGTCGCATCTGGAGACATATCTGTGGCTGTGGGAGAAATAGCCGGGCCCCCTGCAGGAAGACAAGGCACACTCATAGACAGAGCTTGGGTTATTGTCTCTCTCACCACCTCTGCCCTTTCCTGGCCAGGCAGCATAATCCCCACTGCCTCCACAGAGCCTTCTCCATGCCTTCCTCTGAACACACAAGCTGGAACTTCTAGACCTCATCTACTAGTCTCAGCACTCTAACTCCCTTGTTCAGTGTACACTTGTCTTTTCTCCCCCAATTAGACTGGAAGCTCTTTGAGGGCAGAGACCTGTAACTTCTCTTGGGTCCCCCAGAGCTGTGGACCATCTGAATAGGCACTCCATAAATACTTGTTCAACACCTAAGTGCACATATAGGAATAACATTTATGGAGCATCGGGCAGATGGGTGGAAGGAGGAGGGGATGGGTATATACATACATAATGAGTGCAATGAGCACCATCTGGGGGATGGACATGCTTGAAGCTCTGACTAGGAGTGGAGACCAAGGGCAACATATGTAACCTAAACATTTGTACCCCCATAATATGCAGACATAAAAAAAAATAAAATTAGTAAGACTGAAAAAAACCATAAATACTTGTTGATTAACATGAGTCAAAAAGAGTAAAGCAAAACACTTTTGTTGCAAAAGGCTCTTTGCCCATTGGTTTCTCTGGCTCAAGGAGTGCCTGTTTTCATCAGAAATGGTGCTATCTCAAGGCCCAGTGGAGACTGAAGTGTCCCCAGCTTGGAAAAAGGGAGCAAAGCCCTCGGCTGCAGTGGCAGCTGGGGGAAGGTGGCGCTGAGTGCAGGACAGTGTCCAGAGTGCTTCTGCAGCACACCTGCGTCTTTCTTGCTGGTGTTCCTGCCCCCCACAGCCACAGTCTGCGCAGCCTGACAGGCTCTCATCCTCCAGCCTACCCTGGCTGGTGCCCATGTCGGAAATAAGCTAGTGTCATCCCAAGAAGAGGCCCTTTTAGTGCCAATGAGATCTGATGGCAGGAGGCAAAAGGCTCATTTTGGAAGCAGCCCCAGGGGTGAGGCAAGACAGCAGCTGCAGGAAGATGTTCTCTGGCTCCCTTCAAGGCCAAGCTCCTGCTTGCCATCAGAAGCACAAATGAAAGAAGCATCAGCCTGTGGCCACCCTCATGAGACCCTTGTCCTGGAAGGGTCCCTGTCTAAGACACTGACCAGCCACATTCCAACTTCAGAGTGACTTTCCATTGAAAAGTGACCATTTATTTGTCTTACCAGTGTGAGAGGCAAGGAGCCAGTGTTTGAATTTGCCTTTTGGAGGCTGGACCCCATCCTAGCATCCCCTTCTACCTCCCTAAGGGGTGATAGGCTCCAAGCCAGGGTGGGTGCAGCCAGAGCGGATGTGGCTGAATTCAAATCAGCCACGGTCTGTCTTCCTTCCCAAGTTCTTGTATGCTAGAGAGAAGCCCAAGGTTCTTTTGCTGGGCTATGAATTTCTCTTCTATCCAATTACTCTAAATCTTCTTGCCTTCACCCCCAACCACGTATGCTCTGAAGCTCCTCTCTAATTACTGAATTTGTGTCCTGATAAACAACCTAACTGCTTGAAACCATTTGTTACTAAATTCGATATTCTTAGCTAATCAACAATTGCATCACTCTCAAAGTGTCAAAACCTCCTGCTTCTTTTACAAACCTTATACTAGTTTGATTAATTAGCTCCTGGCCCTTTGTATCTTGTTCTAAAGGGCCCTGCCTGGAACCTTAATTCTAGAGAATATACATACAGAGGCTGGAGAACTTAAGCCCATCCAGCAGGCCTGAAAGCCTGGGGCTGTAGTAGTGCCAAGTCAGGGGCTAAAGCTCTGGGTCCCTTGGCTCTGGACCCTTCTCCTCCACCTGCCCTGCCTTTTCCCTGGACCTTCCATTCTCTCTTTTACCTCCTTTCCTTCCAGTACCCTCCCAGGCTCCAGTGTCCCTACACCCTTACCTTCAGGGCTCTTCAGTTGAATACTATACTCAGGTGCATTCTTGCCTGCAGTATGCCTCCCCCTGGCCCTTGATGGAGAACATTTATAAAGCTCTTATGGAACTCCTAAGCTTCAGTAACTTAAGTTGTGGGCATCAGGAGAACAATCTGTAATCTCTCCCAGGTGTTAGGGCAGCAATTTCTCTTCTCCCAGCTCCTCTGGGTTTCAGGTTTTCTGGCAGCCCCAGGATGCAGCTCCCCTTCTGGCCCCCAGGAACCATTTTCCAGGTGTCTCATTAACTGAGATAAGTTGGCATCATGTACAATTGCATAAGGTAATGGGCCTAAACAGCACATTTGTTTACATATGCCACCTAAATAGTTTACTTTTATATGTAACCTAAGAGATAGGCAAGTTTAAAATTGCATAAGGACTTCATGAAGATGCTCCACATTCTGGAACAAGTTCACATTTCTTCCCCATTCACTTGCCTGTTTTGTTTTCTATTCCCTTTGGTTTCCCTTAGGGGGCTCATAGCCAATTCAGTAGGTGATACCAGTTACCATCTGCAGAACATTTACATTAGGCTTCTTCTGGAGTTCCAGTATCTTAGAGGAAGAGCCCTACTCTAATTGCAGGCTCATGACACCCGTTTCTTGGCTCTAGCCCTGAAGACAGTGGCTTCTGCTTTCTAGATCCTTCTTTCTCCAATCTGAAAGATGAAGCAATCATCACCTCTGTTGATTCCAAAGGATGCAGGAAGCTAAGCTGTGAACTCCTGGCTGCTAGGGCCAGAACCCTAACGAATGTCCCTCCCCGCTGGTTCTGAGGTTTAGTTCCCTTTGCATCTTGTTTTGCTCCCATCTTCCCTTTCCCCCAGTCATGTGATGCAGGAAGAGAGCGCAAATGATATGGAATGTGAGCAGCTGCCAGCAGAGATACTTCGACAAGTGACCATTCACCGAGACCCTATATATGGCTTTGGCTTCGTGGCTGGCAGTGAGAAGCCTGTGGTGGTTCGATCTGTGAGGCCAGGTATGTGTCCCTCAGAGTGTCTCCTAGCCCTGACTCTTACCCCCCAGCACTCACATATCTGCCCAAAGAGCAGACCTTCCAAGTGTTCCAACTGTGTTGCTGAGGAATTCATGAAAAATGGGTGAAGACTTGCCCACCAATACCTGTGGGGGGAGCTGGCCTCTTAAGACTGACAGACACAAACCATTGAGGATGCTTGGGGCCCTAGAAAGAGGCTGCAATTGATTGTTTAATAGAATCTGGGCCTTAATAAAGCTTCCTTTTGCATAGAACATTCATAGAAGAGCCATAATGCTTTGGATGAGAAATTACCTATACAATTCAATTCAACAAGTATTTATATATTGCCTACTCTAAGCCTAGCAATGTTGTAGGGAACTATAAGACACAGTTGTTGTTCTCAACCATCAACCAGCAGGCTGTGGAGACTTGGACTTACTCATTAAATAAGTCTGCCATTGAAGGCCAGACTCAGGAGACAGCCAGAATCAGGAACCAGATCTGTCCCCTGTCCAGGGGAGAGAAGAATGAAACCTCTGAATGCCTGAGTGGTAATGACAACATCTACCATTGTTTAAGCATCTGCTATGTGCCTTACATCATCTTGTTTAATTCTCACAGCCAAGCCTGCAAGGTAAATAAGTAATATCATTCCCATTTTACAAATGAGGAAACTGAGGCATAGAGGAAGAGAAGTGATTTGTCCAGAGTCCCTCAGCTAGGAAGCAGCAGAGCCAGGGTTTGCACCTGGGCCTATGTGATGCCCTGTAGGGCAAGTAGGGCTTGAGTGGGACCATGTGGGCTGGAATGAGCAAAAGCTCCACCTAAAATGTGAAGCCCTGGCATCATGAATGAAATGGGAGAGGGCCGAAGCACTGTTTTGTTTTGAATCTGCTAGGCATTGACAGAAAAGACAGACAGAAAGGAGCTTTATTCCTGACTTGCTGGGCCTGAGGCCTTAGATGTTTACAACAGTTTCTCGCTCAGTCAAGAGAAGCAGCCGGAGTACAAACTGGTCTTGCAGAAATTTGATGAATTTTGCAATCCTCAAAGGAAAAAGCTTTCTCTTCAACTAGAGGGCACAGAGAAAAAAAATAATAATTCAGTACAGGAGTTCGTGACTGACCTAAGGCTCCAGAGGCAGTCATGCAGTTTGGCAAAAGGGTTTTGAATCTCTGATCAGAAATCAAATTTATCCTGGGAAAGATAAAACTTAGCAATAGACCACCGGGAGCCCCTGCTTTAACTTCAAATGGGACAGAATTTGCACAGCTGAAGGAAGGCCCCAGGCCTAGGGAGGGTCAGCTGCAAAAGGTATAAGAATGAAGAGGAAGGAATTAGAGGAGTAAAGAGGAGAAAGCACCAGGCAAGAGGCACAGAAAGCCATGGGACTGGCAGGCGCAGCCCTAAAAAAGACTCGGGCTCATTCACATTGCTACTTCTGGCCCAGGTGGCTCCTGAATGCAGAGGACTTGTTTGGTTCTTTATTTGGGGCCCTAAGGAAAGACAAAGAAGCATCCTACAGAGGAGCAATTATGGTTGAACAAGCCAACAAGCCATTCGTGAAAGCAGTAGTAGACTGATGTTACCAGATTCATCAAAGGGCCAAGGTCCATGCGGGAATTCCATGAGGACCTCTTCCATTAGAAGGAAGAAAGGGAGGAAGTGAAGGATGAAGGAAGGAAGGAGGGAGGAAGAGATGGAAGTGGGAGGGAAGGAAGGAAATAGAGAGAGACAGAGAATGGCCCCCACCTAAGAGATTCCATTTTTGGCAGAAGTAGATAGAGACAAGGATGAAACGAGTTGAAGGAATTGTCCATTAGAGGATATAGTAACTGCAATTTATTCAATTCTTACCAACACCAATCAACTCTTTTAAGTGCTGTACATTCATCATCTCATTAATCCTCTCAACCTTCTTCTGATGTATAGGTACAGTTACTTCCCCATTTTACAGATGAGGTAAGAGAGACTCAGATTAAATGTCTCACCCAAGGTCATGCAACTAATGAATTGCAGATTTGGAATTAGAGTCCAGGTCTGCTTGGCTGCAAAGAGTATACTCTTCACCACCATACTCTTCTCCTAAAGTCACTGTGCTGACAGACTTGGCCTCATGTGTTGGGGGCCATTGCTGCTCGAGCAGTGAATCCTTCTGGCTGTGCTGGCATAGCCATCCTCAGCACACAGGCCCCATGCACCAGAGCCACTGAGCTGTGCTCTGGAGTGACATATTTGCTGTGTATGTTCATGTTTTTGGAATTTGGGCAGCATACGTCTTTGTGGAGAGTGGGAGATGTTGGGATCTGGCCGTTTAAAGTGGACACAAGCAAGAGTCAAGGCTGGTTTGGGAGTAGGACATGGTATTAACCATTTCTTTTAAGTTTGAGTCAGGCTGGATCTGACTTTTCAATATCCCCGAGTCTCTGAAAAGCTTTTCTCCAAGAAGATGTTGCATAAACATCAGAGAACGGACAGCCTTGGGGTAGCCCTCTTACGCCTACTCTTGACCCTAGCCAAGCAGGAATGGCCCTCAGAGAGGTCTGCTTTCTTTCTTAACCTTGGCAGTAGAGATGGGAAGGAGAGAAAGCAAATATCCAATTGCCCAGGGGATATGTACCTTGTTCCTCTCATTTATTTGACAGTGGCATCTCTCAGTGTTGAAAAAAGAAATAAAACCCTTTAGGTCTCTTAGTCCATCCCCTGTCTCCAGGCAAGTGAATGCCTATCAGGGGTCCTCAAACTACGGCCCACGGGCCACATGCGGCCCGCCAAGGACATTTATCTGGCCCTCCAGGTGTTCTGCTGCCTGTCCTGCTTAGCAGCCTACTCGTCCAGGGCCCACAGTGCGCATGTGTGGAATGTGCGCCACCCTCTCCAATGGCCCTCCAACGGTCTGAGGGACAGTGAACTGGCCCCCTGTTTAAAAAGTTTGAGGTCCCCTGGCCTAAATCATTCCAGACCAATAAATATGAGTAATATTCAAGTAAGAAGATTCCTCCACCTCCTCCTGTCACCTGTACCACCTCCAGTAGTCTGGAAGTCATTCCTTATGCCTGAGCAAATCCCTCCTATGAGAAGGAAGTCCGTGTTCCTTTTTAGAACAGAGCCAGTAAAGCATTTATTGACTTCCTCTGAGCATGAGGCCTGGACTTGGGTCCTTTTGCTTCCATAGCACACCCAGCTAAAGGAGGTCCACTCCATTCTCTTTCTTCATTCCCCTGCCCTCTGTCTGCCCTAGGCAGCAGTGGCAGCAACAGCAGAGAGCTCGCCCAGCACCCCCCACCACCACTACTCAGCCTGCATCATCTCCCTCCCGCAGGCCACAGCACCCGCTTCAGCTCTCGGGCACTGGGGACTTGCCCAGACTTGTGCTTTCCCAGCAGTAGCCCTAAGCCCTCATGCCTCTCTCCTCTCCTCTGCAGGAGGCCCCTCTGAGGACAAGCTCCTGGCTGGTGACCAGATTGTGGCTATTAATGAGGAGGACGTGAGTGAAGCCCCCAGGGAGAGGTTCATAGAACTCATCAGGTAACAGGGGCCTCTCAGGCCTTGGCAGGAGCTGAGCAGGGTTGCCAACCCTGTCTCATCAGTGGCATAGGGCTATCACTGTCCTCCCTGACCCTGAGGGAAGATTATCTTCCCAGGCAAAGAAGCCCCAGACAGGGCTGGCTACTAAGAACCTTAGGGGCTAGACGTTCAGGGTCACTAGGGGCCCTCAGACATCCAGGCTTAGCCTTTTCCAATGGTGTGAATAGACACAAAGAAGAACCTCCTAGAGCCTCACCTCCACCTCTCTCCACCCAGCTAATCTCACCCAAGCCCCTTCGTTTTTCAGTTCCTGTGCAGTGGGACAGACCAAGTGGCTGATGAGAATCCAACATGCCAGAACACTCTGAGATAAGCAAAGTGCAAGCAAGACATTGTTCCTGCTTCCTCCTGATCCTCCCCTACCACCCAAACACACACACACACACACACACACACACACACACACACACACACACGAAGAAAATCAAAATCCCTGGGCAGCAGGTTGAGGAAGGGAACTTGCCATTTTGGATTCTGCCCACTGCATTTGTGACCCCTTAATGACTCCCCCTCCCCCAGATGAAAGCAGGTGAGAGAGAAAGGGAGTGTTGGGGGACCACCCACTCCACTCTCAGTGGAGAGTAATCACATTGCCTTTGCCCTTCCCTTACCTCTACACACATTGCACACACACACACACACACCGTACACACTCCCCTACCCCTCCCTCCTATACCATACACTCACATCACATGCACACACCCTGGCATAGATTAGTTGGTAAGGAATGAGAGAATAGAGGTGAAGGCTCTAAATTCCACAGGCTAACCTGAGTTTTGGATACCTTGGCTATCTCCCTCCAAATGAAACCATGTGCATGTGCCTGCGCTCTCTCACCCCGCCCCCCAACCCTTGCTAGCCTCACATAGTCTGGCTCCATCTCTGCCTCCCTCTCCTTCAATCCTTCTTGGTTCAGAGTGTTTTCATGCCACTCACCTTTGTGGGGCCCCTAAAAGCCCATCTGGTCTCAGATCTCTTCCTTTGCCTTCAAAGGTAGACTTCATATTCTGCGTGTGGAACAGCGCCCTCTTACTAGCCCTGGAAGGGTTGGAATGCTCCTTCTTAAGTCCAGAGGTCTTCCTTGGCGTGCTTCGCCTCCAGCTCAATACCTTGAAATGTGTCTGGTCCCTAATGACTTTGACTTTATCTCTTCTCCAAGTTCAGTTGTCCATTGCATTTCCCCACCCCCTGCCTTCCCCCCTTCACCCTCCATTACCACACTAATATGGGGTAAGTTCTTTCAACTCCATCAGGGCATGTTGGAGCTTTTTCAGCTTGAGCTCTTGGAAGTCACTGCTTTGCTTCTAGTGGATATCTTTGTGCCTTAGAATGAGGTAGCCTGATTTTGTGAGGGAGTCTGGAGCTCCCGCAGGGTTAAACATAGCTCACTCTTTTGATAACCTCAGGGGCCCATGTGTCATTCATTTATTTATTCATTCATTCAATAATAAATAAATTCATTCATTCAATAATAAATAAATAATATTTATTATTAAGTGTCTACTATGAACCAGGCACTATTCTAGGCACTGAAGATACAGCAGTAAATAAGATGGACAAAAATACTGGCTTATTGAAGTTTACATTTTAGTGAAAAAAGACATGCCATAAGCAGTAAACATGATAAATAAGTAATTGTATAGTATATTAGTGGTTGTTAAATGTTATTGGAGAACAGAAAGTAGATACAAGTAAAGAGGATCAGGGGTGCGGGGCACAGGGGTGCAGAATGCAGCTTTAAACAGCAGGGCTAGCGTTGGCCTCATTGAAAGGGTGGCATTTGAAGAAAAACTTGAAGGAGGAGAGGGTGTTGGAGAAAGAGAGAAGAGCCAATGCAAAGGCCCCGTGGCAGGAGTGTGTCTGGCATGATTGAGGAACAAGGGAGAAGCCAGTAGGTCTGGAGTCAGGTAAGGAAAGGAGATCATTGTAAAAGATAGGTCCATATAATGGAGAGCCCTGTAAGCCACGACAAGGACTATGGCTTTGTTCTAAATGAAATGGGGAGAATGGCAAGGGCTGGAGCAGACAAGTCACATAATGCAACTTATGTTATGCCCCTTCCCTGTTCAAGACAAAGGATTTTCCTTGGTGTTTTCCCTAGAACACAACTCCTGACTTCTCCTGGGAACTTTCCAGATCCTGGGGTGATTGGTCCCTGTAGTTTGCCTTGCCAAATGTGGGAAATGCTCAAAGTCCTTGAGCAGAGGGCCTTGGCATTTCTTGAATACCCAGAATCAACTTCTGGGATTGGCATTTCTTGAATACCCAGAATCAACTGACTCCATTTCTTGAATACCTTTGTTCCCGTGAACATTTGAAAAAGGCCAACAAGGAGAGGGGAAGCTCCTTCAAGGCAAACTATTTCCATTTCTTTTAGTTCTTTTAAACAATTATGTATTCCTGGGAGAGCATTTTCATACCTCACAGCCTCTTTGATCATTGGCATAATTTTTGCCGGAAGAATTTCAAATTCTTCATCCTTTTGAATATTTGCTATCTGGAGAGTCTTGGCTTCCATCTGTTGCTCCCTGGCTCTCATTTTTTGGTCCCTCAATTAAAACAAATCTGCTGAGCATGAGTCATGATGACCAAATGACCTCCTTTGGGTTTTTCCTTTGAATTTCTCCTCTTGCTTAAATACCAAATTACCAATAATCATCGTACATGGTTCCCAGGACTCTCTGACTTTGAGTTCCATAATTCAGTCCTTTAGTTTTCCTTGAGAATTTTCTGGTCTACAGATAAAATTGCTCCTAAGGTTTGGGTATTTCTACAGAGAGAATGTGAGAAGGAATACAAAACGAAGACCTGAAAAATGACAACCACAGAGGTAATGGTAATGCCATCTTCAGATGCCTGTGCGAACCTATATGGATGGTTTGTGTCGGCCTCCACGAATCATGGGATGCAAGGCATCCGTGCAGATTCTCATATTGCCCTCTGTCCTAATCCATATACCTGAATGCAGCCCAGGGGAAAATTCTGGTGTTGCTTCTTGTACTAGATGAATACCTAGTGCATGATACACTACTCTCCTGTTCCCTCTTTTCTCTGTAGGAGCGCTAAGGAATTCATCGTTCTTACAGTTCTGCACACTCATCAGGTGAGTGAGCCTCTTTGCCATCTGTCCTTCCTCCTCACCGAGAAGAGCTGACCCTATATTGCAAAGCAACAGAAGTAGGGGGGAGAGGGGGAGTCAGAGACTAGGACCAACATGTGAGCCAAGGATTTAGGAGTAGACTTAAAGAATACTCTCTAAACATCATGTCTGTTCTCATGTCTAAGGCTGAGGATTTTGAAGGCTGCCTCAGTCCCAAATATATTTTCTGCCTCTTTTTGGCTGTGTCCCATTGAAATTTACCTATCCAGTGTGTCCAGCTTTCATAAAGTCCTAGAAGATGGTGCGTGCTAATATTATCCATTCATTCATACAGATATTTACTAAGTGACCTACAATGTATGAGACACAGCACTATATGTGAGGAAATTTAATAGAAAATTGCTGGGAAGTACAGTTGGACAAACAGGTTCATCTTTGTCCTGTTACAGTCACGAACTGTGTGACCTTAGGTGAGTCAGTTCTCTTTTCTGAACGTATTTTCTCCTCTGTAAATTGAGAGGTTTAAAGAGCAGTGTCTCCTAAACAAACCTGATCATAATAGTCACCAGGACTACTTACTAAAAGTAAATATCTCCAGGCCCTTCTTCTCAAGGGTTGGATTCAAAAAGCCTGGTGTCCATTACTAGGTTACATCCTTATAGCAGTCTTAACTCACATGTGCAAAACTTCTATGTGCAAAACTCAGAGCTCTCCAGCCTATCTGTCCCTTCCTCGAATCTCCAAGACCCCTCTGTGCCCCAGCACTCAATAACCACAGGAGAGGTCGCATCTGTTGTGGGCAAGGACATGAAACCAGGGGAGGCTTCATAGAGGAGGCTGCACCTGAGCTGAACCTTGAGGAATGGGGCAGGATTTCCCAGGCAGAGATAGAGGGAAAGCTTTTCCAGAGACAGATGATATTTATGTGCAAAGCCAGGGATAGAGCACAGGTGCAAAGCATGGGCTCACCAGTCTGGGGGATGGGGTTCAAATCAGGCGTGGTTCAAATACCTGCCTCTCCCCATAGCCCCCAGCCCTCTTCAGTGCCAGTGTAAACCTCACACACACACACTTGCACACGTACACACTCACACATACATACACTCACACACATAGACACTCATACATTCACACTCATATACTCACACAGTACATTCACACATACACTGACACACATACACACATACACATATACTTACATGCACTCACACGTGCACTCTCTCATACACATACACACAATGCTCCCAGGCAGATGGGCCTTTCTCAGTTCCAATTCTCTGTCTCTGGGTAAACACCTCCATTGGTGTTACCAAAAGTCCCCTCGTCCCCATTTTACTGGACATTTGCAGTTGCCTAGTGGGCAGTCAATCCCCAACTCCCTAATCTCCTGTCTCCCCCCAAAACATGCTTGTTGTATGGTTAGAATTTACTAGTCCAATGAAAGACCCAGTGTAGATTACTCTGTTAATTTGGCCTCCTCAAAAGTCACTCTTTGCAGAAGCCTTCCTTGATTCCCCTTTCTGAAATAGCATCTACCTATCACTATCTCCTGATACTGTTTCCTTTTTCATCAGAATGTTATATTTTTTTAACTTTTCTTTTGAAATCATTATAGATTCACAGGAAATTGCAAAGGTAGTACAGAGACATCTCATGTACCCTTCACCCTGTTTCTCCTAATGGTTACATCTTACATAACTATAGTACAATATCAAAACCAAGAAATCAACATGAATTAAATATATGTGTATAGTTCAATGTGAATTTTATCACATATATGGGTTTATCTATCCACTAACACAGCCAAGATACTTGATAAGTCTATCACCAAAAGGATCCCTCATGTCACCGTTTTATAACCACACCTGCCCCCAATCCCTGACAACTACTAATTTTGTTCTCCATTTCTGTAATTTTATCATTCTGTAATATTATATAAATGGAATAATATAGTATATGACCTTTTGGGACTGGCTTTTTTCACTCAGCCTAATGCCCTTGAAATTCATCCAACTTATCACAGGTATCAGTATTTTGTTCCTTTTTTATTGCTGAGTGGTATTCCATGGTATGGATGTACCACATTTTATTTAATCATTCACCAACTGAAGGGCATCTGGGTTGTTTCCAGTTTTGAACTACTACAAATAAAGATGCTATAAATGTTCGTGTACAGGTTTTTGGTGAACATAAATTTTCATTTCTCTGGCATAAATGCCCAAGAGTACAATTGCTAGGTCATATAGTAAGTGTATGTTTAGTTTATTAAGAAACTGCCAGGCTGTTTTGCAGAGTGGCTGTACTACTTTACATTCCCATGAAATACTATATTTGTGTGTTTATTGTCTATCTTCCTCATTAGAATGTCAGCTCTGTGAGGGTAGGGACTGTATTTTGTTCCTGCCATATCCCCAGCACCTGGCACAGAGTAGACACGAATAAATATTATTGAAGGAATGAAGGAAACTCAGCTTCTGTCCACCAAAGCAACCCCAACTAAACTCAACCATCCAAACATAGGTTTGGAATGAAGAGCCTGACACTCCTCCCAATCTCTGTCCCAACTTTCTGATCCCAGTGCCTCCAACACTCCCTTGCTTCCCAGTTCTGATGCCTCCACATGTCCTATCCCACGGCCCCTTTGCCATGGCCAGGCTGCTTTCCTTCTCCTCCTTCTTAGGTACATTTCCTTCTTCTCCTCTTTTCTTTGCTACATTTCCTTCTTCTCCTCTTTCTTAGGTAAATTTCTTAGATCTTACTTCCCTGACTTTTGTCCTTGTACTATTCCATATCTCTTCTAATACATGTCTATTTTCTTTAAGACCTGGCTTGATACTCAAGTCTTCCAAACAACTTTGCCTGACTACCCTTAATGAGAGTTTCTAATCCACTCATTCATTCATTCATCAAGCATTTATTGAATGCATACTATTCCAGGCACTCTTATAGGCTGAGAATATAGCAGTGCACGGGATAGAAATGGTTCTTGCCCTCACAGAGCTTACATTCCAGTTCTTGGCCTTGTGCTGTCTAAACTTTTGGATCATAGAAGTGGATGAGCACATGTACACAGGGGAGACAGTCAAAACACTGTACCATAGGTGCCAACCAATCAGAATATAAGTCAATAATAGCATTGGAACAGAGTCTTGAAGGCCACCTGACTGTGTTAGGTGTTACCCCTTTATCTACATTTGTAAGGAGGTCCAGGGGAGAGGTCAGGTGGCACCCAGGAAGCTTAGGGCAGTGGCTATTTACCAATTAGTGAAAGAATCCATCATTATTTTACAACCGGTGTGGCCAAACCATTGCATCCTGACAGAATGTCAGTGTTGCATCCACATACAGTCCATCCTCATTACTTGCATATTCCATGTTTGCAAATTTGCCTACCCCCTAAAATTTATTTGTAACCCCAAAAATCAATACAGCGCTTTCCTGGTCATTTGCAGACATGTGCAGAGTGTGAGAAATTTGAGTTGCCCAATGCACACGTTCCCAGCCGAGGTCAGACAAGGCAACGCTCCAGAGGCTCTGCGACCATACCACCCTAAATGCACCCAATCTCATCTGATCTCGGAAGCTAAGCAGGGTCGGGCCCTGGTTAGTACTTGGGTAGGAGAGATGACCAGAAGATGGAGACAATAGGGGCAGTGCCGTGTAGTATAAGAAACAAGCACTCGTTAGGGAGCCAGTTGGAAGGGGTCCAACTCTGGCAACTGTGAGTGGGGCAGCCTCAGGCAAGTTACTTCACACTTGTGAACCTCATTTTCTCCTTGTGAAATAAATATAGAATCTTCCAAGATGAATTGCCTTTGGGATTTAAGATCATAATCTGTGAAATATTGGGGCCACAGTTCAGTATTCACTAATTCACTGTTCACGGTGACTTTATAGAACATAACTACCATGAGTAACAAGACTCATCTGAAAGAATCTTCTCTCTCAAGCTATCAGGAAAGCTTCTTGAAGACCTCCAACATATGTTCAATGTTATACCCCATGCATCACAGAGAATTGTACTGTGTTCACAGCAGGCACTTGGCATGTCATGGATGCAAGGAGACTGCTGCCTCTTACTGAACTCTTGTCTTGTTAAATCTTGATTACCACTTCTTCTAGAAGACAACCTTCCAGTAGGTCCAGGATATGGTCCAGGAATCTGTATTTGTAGTATGATTCTTTTGATCAGCAAAATTTAGGAAACACTGGACCAGACAACCTCTTAGACTCCTTCCAGCTTCTACATTCTATGGCTGATAATGGTCTATACCTCCTCCTATATACCATAGTTCTTAACCCTGATTATACATTAGAACCACCTGGGAAGCTCTTAAAAATATTGATATTTGTACTCTAGTCCTGACTAATTGAATTAGAAGCTCTGGAGATGGGGCCCTGGTGTTGCTCTTTTGAAAAGGCTCCCCAAATGATTCTGATATGTGGTCTCTTTCAGATGACATTTTCCTTTTAACAGAGGGACTCATCATGGCAGACAGTTGGGGAAGTATTTTCAGGGGTACAGGAGTCCTTTCCCAGGGCCCTTCAAAACATACCGCATAGACAGCCACTTATTAAGCTTCTATGTATTTAAGGATGTTCCCTAACCTTTGAATTACCAATTATTCCCCATGATTATCTAAATATTCGTTAATTTTGGTACCCTTAGACATTGGCACATATTAGATCCTCAATAAATATTTTAAAATAGATAAAGTACTGGGCTATGACCTAGAATGACCCTGGCAAAGCAAGCCCAGACAATCTCTTCAAATGAAACCCTAGTTTTCTGGTTCTGAAAGTTTAGCCTGTACTCAAAAAGCCTGAATCCCCTCTGCTTGGAGTCACCTACCCAGAAAAAAAGCCAAAATAATGAGAACACCTGCAGAAACACTGGTTTTCTACAGAGCTTCTTGGGGTGTAATGCTTGGCAGATCGTAAGTACTCAAACCATATTTGCTGAGTTAATGAACTAATTATTGATCTTTAATTAGTAATCAACT